AACTAGTGGAAAATGAGAGCTAGTTGAGACTCGGGCAGATCAATTCTCCCCTTTTCCCTCCCTTTCATGAATTGCTGCCTGGCACCAATTCTCCAAAACAGTACCATCAATGGGGAGACCTCCCAAGTAGCTGGTGGACACAACTACTGTGGCCTCCGCAAGGCTTGTCATGAAGCAGTGCCCAGACTGCTAAATACATCACCTTGGGTTACTTCCCTTTCTTTCCTGCCTTTCTTCCGTTTTCTCACTTCCAATGCCTTGGGTTTGCACCTCTCCAAGTAAAACACCAGTACTGAGTTCTTGTTTTCAGGCTCTATTTTCTAGGTGACTGAGGGCTAGGAGGGAAAGGAGGGCCTAAGACTGGGGCAGATAAGGATGAATCCCACTGTAACTTCTGCTCCTCCCACCTTCCTTAGGTCCCTGGACTACCAAGCACCAGATATTAAGTGGCCTATCTTTCCCTGCTGTCCCTTGGGGTTAAGGGGATAATGACTATCCTGGCAAACCAGCCAGGTTGTTTAGAACCTCATATCTAGACTTGGCAGGCTGTTTTACTCTAGCAAACTGATAGAGAGAAAGGAACTTGGCCAAGCTATCAAGTGCAGAGCTAGAATCCCAACCAGGATCTGTCTGCCCCAGAGGTGGTCTCTTCCCTAAGAAGATGGTGCCTTCTATGGGTGTTTCCTGAGCCCAGGCTGGTGCCAAGCACAGATGAATCAGAGCTGGTTTCTGTGCTCAAGGGACTGTCTTAATCTGGGGACTCAGAGGTCCACCTCTGTACAGTGGCCATGGGGAGGAGCCCCTAACTGGAGGGGTCAGAAAGGCTTGTCATGAAGCAGTGCCCAGACTGCTAAATACATCACCAGGTAATCCCTGGGCCCAGTAAGAGTGTAACACCTAGTAATCCCTCAAATTTTGAAATAAACTGAACAGGTGAATGAAGAAGGAAGAGGATTCCAGGCAGAGAACACTGGACGTGGCAACTGCTCAGAGGAGAGGCAGTCTTCAAGTTCTGCATTCATTCAGCAAATGTTTTTTGAGCCTATAATACTGAGCGCACCAAGGTTGTGGAGACCCATGGTGAGGAGCATGAAGTTAACTAAAGGATGTGTCAGAGAAAGACTTCTCAAGGAGATGCCTCCGTGAGACCCGAAGGACTCATGGGTGCTAGCTGCACCTCCCATTTCTTGGACATATACCATTGGACATGTCTATCTTCTGGAAACTATGGCATGGACAGTAAGGATTCAGAGGTGCATGAAGGCACCCTGCCTCTGCAGAGCAGAAAGATCATAGACAACATTTTTGAATGTACCCAGGGCTGCCAAGAAGAGAAGCTGGTCCTCTGCAGGTTCAAGCCTATCTGGGCCTCTGGGGAAGCCCCACAGCCTTGGCTGTGCCTGCCCCTGCCCTCCCACCCTACCCTGACCCTGTCCTGCTTTGCTGCCTTTGTCTGTGTTACTAGTGGCCCCAGTATACCTGGGATGGACATCCAGGTGCCCTTCATCCAAGCTCCCACGTGAGGGGAGTGGACATGATTAAAAGAACAGGGGCTGAAGGGGCTCACTTATGACCCATTCCCTAGCCCCAGGGATTGAAGTCTTGGGTACTCAAAGTTTCTTTCTACCAGGGCACCAGATCCCTTCCATGGAGCAGGCCATCTCAGGTTCACTGGGCCAGGGCTGGTCTCTGTTCCCCAGCCCACCTGGCTCACACACAGCCTCGTGGGTAGGGTCAGCAAACCAGATTACTTGATATTGGAATGTAGGATGAGAGGTCTGCTTGGTGATCTAGCATTTTCACCAAGAAATGGATGTGGAGAGGACCAGAGTGATCAAGGGTGTGTGATGCGCACTACAACAGTGGGCAAAACAGGCTCCTGCTCTTGTGGAGATCACAATCTAGTGGAGGAGGGGTGTTACTAGAAGTGCACAAAGTGGGCCCGGCGCGGTGGCTTACGCCTGTAATCCCAGCACTTTTGGAGGTCGAGGCAGGCGGATCACTTGAGGTTAGAGGTTCGAGACCAGCCTAGCCAAAATGGTGAGACCCCGTCTCTACAAAATACAAAAATTAGCCTGGCATATGGTGGGTGCCTGTAATCCTAGCTACTCGGGAGGCTGATGGGAGAATCACTTGAACCCAGGAGACGGAGGTTGCAGTGAGCTGAGATCTTGCCATTGCACTCCAGCCTGGGTGACTGAGCAAGATTCTATCTCAAAACAAACAAACAAAACAAAACAAAAAAGATCTGTGAACTCTTTAGTAGATTTTGAATCCTGCCTCTGCCATTTCCTGGCTATGAGGTGTCTTGGGAAATTTACTTGTCACTCTTGCTTCTGATAGCAAAGGGGATGGTGAGATAGATTCCAGATGGAGAGATAAGGTTGAAAGTGTTTTCTTTGGCTGCAATGTGGAGATAAGATTAGAGCGAGGCTGTAAGGGAGAGGAAGGGACATAGCAGTATTTCAGGTGAGAGTCAAGGTGGCTTTGGCCAGGGTGTGAGAGTGGAGGTAGGGAGAAGTAGGAAAGTGATAGTTAACTGGATTTGGTAGATGAGGGCGAGGTCAAGGGTGACTTCCAGGTTCCTGGCTTGTGTTATAAGTAACACAGAAGAAGAATGGATGAACTTCATTTGTTTTCCATTGATTGTGATATCTATCATAACCTGCAAGAAATATTTTGTATATCTCCAATTTAATAATAAAATGCACTCATGTTAGGAAGGTCAAAAAAAAAAAAAAGGAAAAAAAATAATAAAAATATTTAGTTACCCCTAAGATCAGGCCTGTAATCCCAGCACTTTGGGATGCCAAGGCAGAGGATAACTTGAGGCCAGGAGTTTGAGACCAGCAAGACCTTGTCTCTATAAAAAATAAAATAAGAAAAAGAAGGAAAAATAATGTAGTACATTTAAAAAGGTTTGAATTCCCCATCCTTCTTTGCAGAGGTAACCACTATACTGAATTTTGATTAATCTCGCCTTAGCTATTTATTGTTTTTACCACATAATGTATCTGTTCTTAAATATAGTGATTGGTTTTATATGGTTTTGAACTTACCTTTATTCTGTTTAGGATTCATTGAACTTTTTGAATCTAAATGTTTAGTAGTCTTAATAAAATTTGGAAAAATTTTGGGCATTGTTTTGTCAAATTTTGGGGTTCTCCTCCACCTTCTATTTCTGACATACAGTCTGCCTGTATGATGGAGCACTTGATACTGTCTCTCAGGTCACTGATGCCCTGTTTATTTCTTTCGGTTCTCTTTTCTTTTCTTTCTTTTTTTTTTTGAGACTGAGTCTTGCTCTGTTGCCCAGGCTGGAGTACAATGGCTCGATCTTGGCTCACCATGACCTCCACCCCCCGGTTCAAGTGATTCTTATGCCTCAGCCTCCCGAGTAGCTGGGATTACAGGTGTGTGCCACCACACCCAGTTAATTTTGTATTTGTAGTAGAGACTGTGTTTCTCCACGTTGGTCAGGCTGGTCTTGAACTCCTGACCTCAGGTGATTTGCCCTCCTCGGCCTCCCAAAGTGCTGGGACTACAGGTGTGAGCCACCACACCTGGGGGTTTTATATAATGTGAAATCCTTGGTGGATTGTTATATAAGGGTTGTAGTGAAATTTGAAGAAATATTTGGTGTTTTTGAATGGGTTGGAAATATGTTACTATTTTTCATATTTAGGTTAATGAAATAAAAACTTTAAAAATTCATGATCTAGCAGATTAGATCTGGATAATGAGGAACAGCTGTATGATCTTTTCTTTTTATAATTGTGCTTCATGTAAGACTCTAGTGCATTCTCAGATTTCTCTGGTCTCTCACACCCCCGCCCCCACCCTGGTGTGTTAACAATGTAGAGAAGTTTTGTTTGGGGTTGTTATGGATTCTTTATATTGACCTTAGTAATAACATGGATGAAATCTTAGAGATATGTGTTGAAAACAAGGGAGTTTCAGAAGACTATATATAGCTCAGTATAATATTTATGAAGCTCAAAATAAAAAAACCTACAAATTATCTTTGAATACATGCATTTTTGATAAACGTATCAAAGGGATTTATATATACAAAATTCAGGGTAGTCATCAATTCTAGAAGATAGAAGGATGGGTAGGGGAGCTCACCAGACTTGGCACACAGCCAGGGCATTGCAGTTTTCTGAAAGGAGCCATAGTCAAGGACTTGGCATCCCCACCGTAAGGCAGATTCACTGTGCACTGGTTATCAGCTTGTCTGAGTCCAGTGAGATCCAATGACACCCATACACACAAGTTAAATAAAACAGGTTTATTACTAACAGGCAGCAAAGGACAACAATCTAGGATTCCTTGGGAGTTAGTCCCCGAAGGTTCAGGAAAGCTGCCCGGGGGGATGGAGTCTTAACTGCATGTGCCCCACTTGTACCACAGCTGAAGGGCCCCAGAAAGCAGCCAGCCCAGAGTTTTATACCTTGGGTTTATGTGGGTCGTTGAAGGACGATCGTGCTTCCGTGCAGAGGCCTCCTTATTTGGGGTCTTGGCTAAGGCTGTCTCTCCTATCTGTTCTGTAGCAGTCAGTAAATAAGGCTTCATCATTCCTTTCCATCTGGCTCATTGTTCTGACTGGCCATCTCAACACTTGATTGCATGACACTGATTGCATGACACTGGGTGATGAGCTCTTACAGGTGCTCATTTTTTTCTACTTATAACTTAAATATCTTATTCAATATATTTCATATATAATATTACACAATATCTTTTTTTTCTTTTTTTTGAGACAAGGTCTCACTATGTCACCCACGCTAGAGTGCAGTGGTGCAGTGGTGTGAATACAGCTCACTGCAACTCCAACTACTGAGCTCGTGATCCTCCCACCTCAGCCTCCCAAGTAGCTGGGACTATAGGTGCACACCACCACACCCAGCTAATTTTTTTTTTTTTTTTGGTAGAGGCAGAGTTTCACCATATTGCCCAGGCTAGTCTAGAACTCCCCAGGCTCAAGCAATCTGCCCATCTTGGCCTCCCAAAGTACTGGGATTACAGGCGTGAGCCACATCTGACCCAGGTTGAACTTCTGAATAGGCTAAGTACTCATCTAAGCAAAGTCCATTTAACCTGAGACCACTTTACACTGGACGTGACTGAGCATCCCCTCCTTTTCAACACAGGAATGAAACTCCAAAGAAACATAGACTCAGCTACAGACAAAAAAAAAGTTCCATATTCTTTACCCTCTAAGTTATATACATATCAATCTCAATCATCTACACAGATACATTTTTACAAGTACACATACAGGTAAATGCAGAGTAAGATCTAGAAGGATTCACAGCATGCTGATAAAAGCAGTTACCCTGAGAGAGGGCAATGAATGAAGAGTGCTTCCGGTTTCAAGTTGAAAGTCATCCAGTTTTTATATGAAAATCCATATACCTATTTTCTCTGTATGTTTTAGAAAACTTATGAATATTAAGCACCTACTAGCTACTGGCATAGGGAAATAGGGGAGCTTGTTCAAGGGAAACAAACTCAGTAGGGAGAATCTTTTAGCTGTACACATTTCCTCATGGACTGAAGGGTTCATAATCCTGGGTGAACGTTGTGGACCTTTGCATGCTGCTTTAGGTGATCAGATCTTGCAAAATTCTTGTTGCATATTGAACACAGGTAGGGCCGTTCCCCTGTGTGCCTTTTCTTGTGTCTGTTGAGCTCATCTGAGCGGGTGAATTTCCACATACATCCCTCTACATCGCATATGTAGGGCTTCTCCCCTGGACCAGACAGAGAGAGAGAGACCTGTCATACATCAGGGTGAGGTAGGGCAGGGACATTGAATGTGAACAAGAAAAAGTTTTTGAGCAAGTTGGAGTGGGAGAGGGAGAGCCAAAGGAGACGGAGGTGGGGGAGGTGAGTGAAGGAGGGGAATGAGGGCCACAAAAGCTGGAAAGACAAGAGGAAAACTGTGAAGAAGGGAACAAAAGGAAAGGAAGAAGAAAAAAAAAAACAGGAGGAGAGACAGTTATTGGCAGGCAAGTTAGTGGGGGGAATAAGGAGGATGAGGGAAGTGGGGCCTGGGGGCGCTGTCACTATGAAGTGACGATCCCAGTAGAAATAGCGTCAAGAACATCTACCTGCAAGAGGCCAAAGAAATCCCTTCACTTCTTCCCATCAAACCAGCAGTCAACATCACTAAAGGCTATAGCCAGCCTGGCTCTGGTCCAAGACTAGAGCCTGTCCCTAGGACTGCTTTATCCCCGCTTCTGAAGGTGCCAACCTTTTCTATTATAGAATCTTCTTGAATTCTTGGCTTAAAGGAAGTGGCAGCAATCTCAAATGCTCCCAGGGCTTTGTAAAGGCACAAATCTGTAGCCACTTGCCCCTCACCCCGTTCCCAGGCCCTCACTCACCGGTGTGCTTGCGCATATGGGTTCGGAGGTGGCAAGCCTTTTTATAAGACTTCTTGCAGTTCTCGTAAGTGCAGATGTAGGGCCTCGAAACCTCAGGATTCTTCCAGAACTGGCAGCTCTGTGTCTTCTGCTTTTCTGGAACTTGTCCTTGAATCAAATGGGAACTTGAAAAGCATGGGAATCCTGGGTGTGGCAATGATGAGAACTGATGGGATATATATCCCCCATAAAGGCTGTGGTCATTAGTGAGCATTGTCATATTGCCCACCTGAAGAGTCAGCATCTGGTCCCCATAGAGGGTCGGGTTGCCACTATATGTTGCCATCTGGCCTCCACAGAGAGCCTGGTTATCAATGGAGGTCATATTCTGCCCCCCATAGAGGGTCTGATTACCAGTGGTGGTCGTCACCTGCTCCCCACAGAGGGTCTGGTTACTAGTGGAGGTCATCATCTGCTCCCCACAGAGGGTCTGGTTACCAGTGGAGGTCGTCACCTGCTCCCCATAGAGGGTCTGGTTACCAGTGGAGGTCATCATCTGCTCCCCACAGAGGGTCTGGTTACTAGTGGAGGTCGTCATCTGCTCCCCACAGAGGGTCTGGTTACTAGTGGAGGTCGTCACCTGCTCCCCATAGAGGGTCTGGTTACTAGTGGAGGTCATCATCTGTCCCCCGTAAAGGGCCTGGTTACCAGTGGAGGTCGTCATCTGCTCTCCACAGAGGGTCTGGTTACCAGTGGATGTCGTCATCTGCTCCCCATAGAGGGTCTGGTTACTAGTGGAGGTCATCATCTGCTCCCCGTAGAGGGTCTGGTTACCAGTGGAGGTCATCATCTGCTCCCCGTAGAGGGTCTGGTTACCAGTGGATGTCGTCATCTGCTCCCCATAGAGGGTCTGGTTACTAGTGGAGGTCGTCATCTGCTCCCCGTAGAAGGTCTGGTTACTAGTGGAGGTCGTCGCCTGCTCCCCGTAGAGGGTCTGGTTACTAGTGGAGGTCATCATCTGCTCCCTGTAGAGGGTCTGGTTACCAGTGGAGGTTGTCATCTGCTCCCCGTAGAGGGTCTGGTTACTAGTGGAGGTCATCATCTGCTCCCCGTAGAGGGTCTGGTTACCAGTGGAGGTCGTCATCTGCTCCCCGTAGAGGGTCTGGTTACCAGTGGAGGTCATCATCTGCTCCCGGTAGAGGGTCTGGTTACTAGTGGAGGTCGTCATCTGCTCCGCGTAGAGGGTCTGGTTACTAGTGGAGGTCGTCATCTGCTCCGCGTAGAGGGTCTGGTTACTAGTGGAGGTCGTCATCTGCTCCGCGTAGAGGGTCTGGTTACCAGTGGAGGTTGTCGCCTGCTCCCCATAGAGAGTCTGGTTATCAGTGGAAGTCATCATTTTCCCTCCATAGAGGTCTAGACTGGTTGTCATCTGGCCCCCAGAGAGAGCCTCATCGCCACTGGAAGTCACTGTATGACCATCAGTGAGGGTCTGGTCACTACTGAAGGTCACCTGGTCCCCACAGAGAGTCTGGTTATCACTGAGGGTCTTCATCTGATCTCCATGCAGGGCTGGTATCTGACTCTCATTGAGGGTCTGGTCACTACTTGGAGTGTTCAGCTGGTTACTTTCACTGGAGATTGTCATGTTGCTTGCAGTGATGGCTGTCTTCTGGCAATCAGTGGGTGATGACTTTGGGGTGTCTGTAACATCTGTCATCTGGGAGCCTGCTGTGTGTTTTATCTGATCAAAGGAAGTCACTTTCTGGCCCATGGAATAAGTCTCATTTAGGTCTTCAAGTGCCATATCAAGGGCTTTAAGAGGGTGCATTGTTAAGTCCTGGGTGAGAACTGTCCCAGGGATGTTAGTGTATGCAGAAGTCATCATTGTGGGCCTCAAGGGAGGCATCGTCTTGCTCCTGGTTGACTCATGTTGGCTCTCCTCAGCATGGGCAGTCAGAGGCATACAGTTCTGTGGTTCTGGTGCATCTGGGGTTTCTGCCTGTTTTGTATGTCGCTCAGAGAGATGCTGGAAAAAATTCTCAATTTCCTCAATTTCCTGGAGGAGACTGGAATCCATCTCTTTGCTGTTGCCTGATAACTAACTGAATCTTTAGTTATGGGATCCTGCAAAAAAGTTAATAGGTCAGGGGTTCATCCCAGCTCAAATTCTCCTTCTCCATCCCTGTTGAGCCCACCATTATCTCTTGCCTAGAAGCCTGTAGTTGCCTCTCAACTGACTCTGGAGTTAACTTCATCCAGTGTACCCTCCACACACAGAGTAACATTTCAAAAGCGAAAACATTTCTCAAATGCAAACTTTTACTAAGCCACTCCTATCTACCAATGGAGGCAAGAATCTAGATGGATGCTGTGAATGTCCCATTATCCTCTGAAGAGATCTGACCCCAGAGACTTTTCCAAAGTCTCCTCTCCAGACATCTTACCGGAGATTCAGCTGATTAAACTTTCAAATAAATTATCTCATTTCATTTCCACCATGACCCCAGAAAATAAGGGTCACAATTAATCTCATTTTAAAGAAAATAGAGGTCCAGGGAGGTGAATTGGCTTGGCCCAGGTGGAAGACTCTTAACTTGTACTGGACCTATCTGGCTCTGGGTCCTTACAGTCCCCTAGATAAATGGGGACATTTCTCCCAGAGATCTCCCTGGGGGCACCCACTGATTCTGGCCTCCTGAGAACCATCCTGGAAACCACCAGCTTCTAGGAACCATTCTACTATGGACTGAATGTGTTTCTCCAAATTTTGTATGTTAAAACTGAATTTCCAATGTGATTGGAAGGTAGGGCCTTTGGGAGATGATTAGGTCATGGAGACAGAGCCTTCAAGAATGAGATGAGTGTTCTTCTAAGGGGCTGAGTTCTTTACTTCTACCAAGTGAGGACCCAGCTAAAAGGTGCCATCTATAAATCAGAAAGCATGCCCTTACCAGACACCAAATCTACCAGCTCCTGGACAGAACAGACTAAGACACATTCCAAGGAGCAGTTTCTTTGGAGACAGAGGCGTAATTGTGCATATATTTCTGTTCAAAGTGGCCATCCATATGCTTCTAGGCTTCCTATGTCTCTGGTATGATGTGTATGTATGTATGTATGTATTTATTGTTTTCTCTGCCCCATATGATCTGCAAGAAAAGTGTCAAATTTATAATGAGCTCCCCAAAGCCATTATCTGGGTAGCCTCACATCTTTTTCATTCCCTGTGCTTCTTCCCTGCTTTTGTCCTACTCTGGCCAGATCAGTCCACTCAGTTTTGCCATGTTCCTATCCAATCCATTGCTCAGTCTGCCCTACCCAGCCAAGTTATCTTATCTAATACCATCCTTTCCTATCTCTGCCATCAAAGCCTGGTCCCTCCTGCCTTGTCCTGACTCTCAGAATAGAGAAATACCATAATTCTCCCAGGCTGTATTCAAAATGTGTGACAGGACTGCCATTAAATATGGTGGACTGAGGAGACCCTGAAGTCCTTCCCTTCTATACCAAATCATAGAAATGATAGATGGCTTTAAATATGTACATATATACAATGTATATATATTATATCAATATTTATATTTATTTATATATACATTTTTTATATTTTTTATTTTATTTATTATTTATTTTATTTTATTATTATATATATATTTATAATATTTATATATAATACATATAAATTATAATATATAAAAATATTATATATAATATATAACATACAAATATAATATATAATATACAATGTTTAATATTATAATATATAAATATATATTATATACACTTAAAGAAAAAATTTTCTATAAGTATTATATATACTTTAAAAAATTTAAAAACTGCAAAGAATATATATATAATATATATCTATTTATGGTTGGAAATAAGTGGAATTTCCCAAGAACTAGGAGGTACCCTTAAAAGAAGGGAGATAATTAAAGCCATAGTGGAAGCAGAAGCCACTTTCACTTGGAGGTCTAGGCTGATGCCACTTCCTATGGTGACACCCTACCAAGAGGAGCTCTCAAAACCTAGGAATTATTTTTATTTTTATTTTCAGAGTTGGATTCTCTCCAAGTTGCCCCAGCTGGATTTGAACTACTAGGCTCAAGCGATCTTCCTGTCTCAGACTCCCTAGTATGTGGGACTAGAGGTGCTTGCCACCACATCCACCTCTAAATCCATAATAGAAATCCATAATAGAAGTAAAACTGGAAGGCTAGGCATGGTGGCTCACACCTGTAATCCCAGCACTTTGGGAGGCCAAGGCGGGTGGATCATGAGGCCAGGAGTTCAAGACCAGCCTGGCCAAGATGGTGAAACCCTGAACCTACTAAAAATAAAAAAATTAGCTGGTGGTGGGCACCTGTAATCTCAGCTACTTGGGAGGCTGAGGCAGGAGAATCGCTTGAACCTGGGAGGTGGACTCCAGCCTGGGTGACAGAGTGAGACTCCATCTCAAAAAAAAAAAAAAAAAAGAAGAGGAAGAAGTAAAGCTGGAAAATTCACAAATTTGTGGAAATGAAAGAACATACTCTTAAACAAACAATGGATCAAAAAGAAATCACAAGGGAAGTTATAAAATGCTTAGAGATGAATGAAAATAAAAACACAATAGACCAAAATTTATGGGATGTAGCAAAAGCAATGCTAGAACAGAAATTTACAGCTATAAACACTTACATTTCAAAAAACAAGAAACAGCTCAAATCAGTAACCTAACTTTACAATGTAGGGAACTAGAAAAAGAACTAAAAGTTTGCAGAAGGAAGAAAATAATAAAGAATAGAACAGGCCAGGCACAGTGGGTTAGGCCTGTCATCCCAGCATGTTGGAAGGCTGAGGTGGGAGGATCCCTTCGCCCAGGAATTCTAGACTAACCTGGGCAACATAGTGAGATCCTGCCTCTACAATTTTTTTTTTTTTAATTAGTTGAGTGTGGTGGCACATACCTGTAGTCCCAGCTGCTTGGGAGGATGAGGCAGGAGGATCACTTGAGCCCAGGAGATGGAGGCTACAGTGAGCTGTTATTGTGCCACTGCACTCCAGCGTGGGTGACAAAGCAAAACCCCATCTGTAAAAAAACAAAACAAAAAAGAACACAGCAGAGATAAATGAAATGGAAATTTTTTTTAATTTTTAAAAATAGAGAAAAATTAATGAAACAAAAAATCAATCTTTGAAAAGATCAGCAAAATTGACAAACCTTTAAGCTAGGTGGACTAAGAAAAAGAGACTCAAATTACTAAAATCAGAAAGAAAAGTGGGGACATTACTACTGCTTCTACAGCAATAGAAAGGATTTTAAGACAGTACTATGAACAGTTTGTACACCAACAAATTGGATAACCTAGGTAAAATGAAGAAATTCATAGAAACACAAAACCAGGCCGGGCGCGGTGGCTCAAGCCTGTAATCCCAGCACTTTGGGAGGCCGAGAGGGGTGGATCACGAGGTCAGGAGATCGAGACTATCCTGGCTAACACGGTGAAACCCCGTCTCTACTAAAAAATACAAAAAACTAGCCGGGCGAGGTGGCGGGCGCCTGTAGTCCCAGCTACTCGGGAGGCTGAGGCAGGAGAATGGTGTAAACCCGGGAGGCGCAGCTTGCAGTGAGCTGAGATCCGGCCACTGCACTCCAGCCTGGGTGACAGAGCGAGACTCCGTCTCAAAAAAAAAAAAAAAAAAAAAAAGAAACACAAAACCTACCAAGACTGAACCATCATGAAGAAAGAAAATCTGAACAGGTCTATAAACTAACGAGATTGAATCAGTAATCATTATCTCCTAATGAAAAAAAAGCTGTGGACCTGATAGTTTCACTGGTCAATTCTACCAAATTTCAAAGAACTAACATCAATCCTTCAAACTTTGACAAAATATTGAAGAGGAGAGAATACTTCCTAACTTACTCTATGAGCCGAGCAAATACCCAGTGTCAAAGCCAGAAATGATGCTGCAAGAAAAGAAAACTACAAACTCATATCCCTTAAGAACATTGATGCAAAAATCCCAAGAAAATACTAGTAATCCCAATTCAGCAGCATATTACAAGGATTAAACAACAAGACCAAGTGGGATTTATTCCCAGAATGCAAGGATGGTTCAACATATGAAAATCTATTTTCAATATATTTATTGAAAAAATATAGCTATAAGTATATATGCAGTTCAAACCTATGTTGTTCAAGGGCCAAATGTATACACAAACAACTGAATATACAACTGAATATCCAGCCTTAAAATGGAAGGATATTCTGACACATGCTACAACATGGATGAACGCTGAGGATATTATGCTAAGTGAAATAATCCAGCCACAAAAAAGTGACTTGCATAAAAAAAATCATGTGATTCCACTTATATGAAGTATCTAAGAGTAATCAAACTGAGAGGCAGACAGATGGTTGGGGGGGAAGCGGGGAGGGGGAGTGAAGAGTTAACTGTAACTGGTACAGAGTTTCACTTTTATAAGATGAAAGAGTTCTGGAGATGGATGGTGGTGATGATTGCACAATATTATGACTGTATCTAAATACTGCCACTGATCTGTAAACTTAAAAATGATTAAGATGGTAATTTTATGTTATATACATTTGAAGATCATACAAATAACTGAGAACAATTTAAAAAAAAAATCCCAAACAGGAAATCTTTGAAATTATATCCTCTGAGATTAAAATCAATCTCTAGCTATCACAGCACCTCTAGCTCTAGGTACTCAGAGGCTGTGGGGTGAGGTTCCCTTGAGCCCAGCAGTTTGAAGCCAGCTTGGGCAATATAGCAAGACCCCCTCCTCTCTAAAAAGTAAATACATAAAATTAAACTTTAAAAATCAACCTCTAATAGCATCTTACTCTTACACTTAGTTTCCCACCATTCCTGCCCATGTAAAAGCTTAACTCCTGTCTACCCCATCTCCCCACTAGAGCTCCTCTGAGCAGAACTCTATTTCATGCTGAGCAAGGCCTGATGGATCCCACTGGGAACCTTAGAAAACAGGAACTCAGTGAAGGACTCATTCCCACTCCACCTGCTCTAGGTCTGCTTCTGGTCCCTAAAGTTTCTGGCCCTTGGAAAAACAGATGGATTTCATCCCCAGTTAAAG